TATAGTTGAGGGATCAAAAAAGTGCAAAAAATTGTTAAAGGACCAAAAATGTGCAACTCACTAAAGTTGAGGGACCAAATTTAGCATTTAACCTATTTCTTTTGCTGCATCTACATCTTTGCTTTTCTTATAATAAGTATTTTTTACTGAAATTGTGAGATATTGCTATTTATCTTTGTTTTGAACCTTATTAGTGATAGTATAATACTACAAAATAATAGTTTTATTCATATTTTTTTTAATTGAACTTATGGCTAAACTTCATCAATGATCAGGCTTGTTTGAAAAGAAAATTGTAATGACCATCCTTGGATATAGGCATGTGTGTTACATTCATTTGTGGGCAAGGTGATGTTTGTGCCATTGGTGATGTGTTAGAAAAGCATGCTGGTGATGAGAAACTACTGGATTGGTACTAATTAACACAATTCAAACACGTATTTGGTTGCTCTCTCTTTTTATTGGAGCAAAATTCCTATCACAAAAGCTTTGTTTGAATATTTATTCTGATCTTCAGTCACTTTTTAGAGCAGAGCAGAATTTCCTATGACTTGCAAATGATGTGGGAAAGATAGTTCTTATGAGCTTGTTCCTTTCTAAACAAGCATTTTTATATTGGTGAAGACACAACATATATCAGGCACATGGTAAGACCTGCATGCTTTGAAATCGCCTTTAATGAACAAAATCAATAATCCCTATTTAGATTTTGGATCTATACAGAGTTAATGATGTAATAATCATAAACAAATGGCAAAATGGTGCCATAGTGTTACAGTGTCATTTTTAGTTCTTACCCTTCCAAAAGTAGCTAAGGTATATATATTCTAACTAGCATGCCATTTTCCTATTGTTTTCATTAATCTGAATTTTGTCTAACTAATTTTTATCTGGTACATCTGTCAAGCAAGCCAAAGTTTATCTTCTTGACACCATGCATTTTGAGGATGCATCTGGACTGAAGTGGAGAAGGAAATGCTAGCTCCGGGCTGTAGATTACAAGTATTTACTTCGTAAATCTGATAATCTTTAATGTGAATAAATTTCTTAATTCTACCCTTACTTTCTGAAACTCAAAACATAATTTAATTCTGTGTTATACTTTTGGTGTTAACCTCTGCAGGTGCCTTCGAGTAGAAGTATGGTGCCTCTACTTTCAGTGGAGGAAGTGGAGCAGAAGCCAAAGTGTAGTATCTCACTGCTTCTAGTCTTGGTAATGTAGAAAATAGAACCTAAATCAACGACAAAAATTGGCGAAATTATTCAATGTAGAACAAGCTCTCAAGCTTCTGCTATCATTTCCTTGGTTCTCCTTTCATTTTCTTGTAACAAAATAATTGCACTAATTTCCTCTAAAAAACAAAAAAAAAGATTGCACCAAATGCGCTTTGTCTGTAGTGTCATCACATGTGCTCTCCAGATTGCATCTTTGCTTGGAGGGCTTGTCTATTCTCTTTGGTAAGAGTATAAGATAAAAAATTATTATTAAGTAATAATTATAATTTTTTTAAAAAATAAAATTTTATATTAAAAAATAATTTTTGATT